CTGCAGAGCCTGCCGCGCGCCCGCCGCTGTCAGCTCCTCCTCCGCCTGCAGCGACCAGAGCAAAGCAACAGCTGGAAATCACGCCATCAGCACCTCTACCCCAGCTAGCCACACCAGACAACTCCAAACACGGCTTCCCAATAGCAGGAGACAGGCTGGATGCCTTTTGTCGGGGGTTCGGTTTGCGGCATCGCACGCTTCGTGCCCCTTCCGACCTGGGTTTGGTCCCCGGGCCGCCGTCCAGCCTTGCCATTCGAGCACACCGCTCGCACAGGAACGTCTCGCCGGCAGAAGGCAGCCTCTTCCCTCGGGTCCGTGGAAAAGCTCGACCCATCTGGACCCTCTGCCTGCACAGCCCGCGTGTCTGGGGCTTGCTGGCCCTCGTCCCATGCGTCTGCCGCCCGTGCCAGGCTGCCGAGGCTCCTGCCGTGCCCGTCCCTCCCTGCCCTGCAAACCCCGCAGCCAGGCGCGTACCTTGGCTTTCTCAGCCAGCTGGGTTCGGATGCTCTCCTGCTCGGCACGATGCTTCCGGACTTGGCCCTGCAGCTCCTCCAGCTCGCGTTCCAGCTCCCCGATGCGCTGCAAGAGTCCTGGCATGGCGCAGGGCCTCACCAGAGGAGCTGGGCATCGCCCCTCTGGAGGGCTTCACCCCACCAGCACTACACTTTCCCCATCTATCCCGTTACATTCGCCCTGGAATTTTCCTCTAACCTTCCTGCGGTTAGCTGGGCTTCCGAGTGCAATTTCATCTTGTCACTGACACCCTTTTGCCGCATTCTAACGCGGTGTGACCGTTTCTACAGGACTTTACAATTCTCTGGCTCGCTGTGCGCATCAGGTGCCTTCTACCACAGGAGTCGGACTCAAAACAACCCCCTTCACACGCCCAGTTATTTATTCTCTCCGTGACGCATTCCGGCAGCGGCAGCTCTACCGTGTGCTCCATCGCCACAAATGACTTGCGACTCACGTTTCGGCACGCCGTTACTTCTCGCTCTCCAAGCTCACGCTTCAGTTCTTCTCTTATTCTAGAGCACTAGAACGAACGGCAACCAAGAAAAAAAACCATCAGAGCAGGCAGATACCATCATGTCTGCAGGAACTGCCAGCTCCCACTGCAGAGCTGCAGCCTGGCTAAGTGCTCGGGATGCCCAAGGAGTGGACCATTAGGTCGAATGCCTGCTGAGGGGGCCAGCCAGGCACTGCGAGCACGAGAGCATCTCCTGGGAACGCTCCGATTAAGGCCCTGCCCGGCTGAGGGACAGACACAAGTCTGCAGGGAGTGGCCAACAGAGAGACTTTCCTCTGGTCTTAGAAACAGTATAACAGGGACGGGGGGAAGGGATTCAGGATCACAAATGCTTCTTCAGACCATCCCCAGTAAGTCAAACACGCCGATCACTGACATTTCCAGGCTCATCGTCACCGTATCCGACGGTGCTTTGCAGGTCCGTGTTTCGGGGTATCGGCATTGCAGAGAGCGGCCCCGAGCGCCCGCGTGCCTCTCCCGTGAGCCCGCGTCTGCCAGCTCCCGCCGCCCTCCAGGTCTTCCCACATCCGCCGAGCGGGGAAAGCCACCGAGGGATGCTCTGGGACGCGCGCTCTGCCTCGCCACGAGGCTGCGGGCCAGCGAGCG